GACTATAGCCCACCAAAATGATGGAAAATCGATGATTTTTTACCAAAAAGCATGCACTATAGCCCACCATAAAGATGCAATTTCGATGATTTTAGGCCAAAAAGCATGGACAAAATGATGAAAATTCGATGATTTTAGGCCAAAAAGCATGGACTGTAACCCACCAAAATGATGGAAAATCGATGATTTTTTGACCAAAATACATTTCCCCAAAAAGATAGTGTTTTATCGCCCACATGGACTATAGGTACTTGTTTAATAAAAAAAGAATAAATACAATTTAAGTACGAGGAAATTATCGATGCATTGTTTTATTCCTGTAGCCTTAAGAATATTACAAACTCACCACTTGCATGAATGCCACAGGAACTTAGAGTTCTAAAAACTTTTAGTATAAACATACTAATGGTCTATCACTCATACTGCGCTGTGATTGGCTACTCTACTAATGGTCTAATTTGTGATAGACCACTCGCGGGAAAATCAAAATAAATAAATTATAAATTATTTTAAGGATATTTCAATTTGTTTTCATTATTTGACCGATTAGTATGTTTATACTAAAACAATTAGACCTCTCGGCCTCGTGGACTACGAGCTAATAGCCCATTCGGCCTCGCGGACTCGGACTCATGGGCTATTWGCTCGCAGTCCACTCGACCTCGAGGTCTAATTGTTAAATAGACAACAAGTAAGCCATTTACATATAAATACTTGTTTGTGTTTTTTTTCGCAAGATTATTCGAGCACAAGTTTCAACTCTTTATGACATGTTATTACAATAATGGAAGCATCATGTGGAGYCCTTCCCAGGGGCGGAGCCAGCATTTGGTAAGGGGGTTGGGGCGGTACTTTTTTTCAGTAATATATATACCTAAGACTAAGTATAGCAGATGGAACTGATCATTTTTGCTAGCTGGGTATTGTCTAAAGCAAGAAAAATATGCACAATTCGACTTTTATTGCAAAGTATCTTTTACTACACTACATTGTTAAGCAGCATAGTGGCACATGTTGTGCATGCTAATAAC